GATTTTTTCCCACATCAGTTGGTAATGTCAAAGTCACATGATTTTTTGGAGCAATAGTCATTGTTTTTTCCTAAGCGTAATATGGACAATTTTGACAATGTCGAAGTCCAACGAGTATTGGGAACAAGTGTTGTTTTTTTATTCAGCCATGTCAAGGACACTTCTATTAGGGGTACAATATTTTTTTGAACCAGTCACTTTACTAATTTAAGAATTGGGATTTGAGTAGCCCACCTAGGATTTACTTTGGTGCATATTTTTAATGTTGAACCCCAAATAAAATAAGAAACTTCCTGCATTCAGTATCTGATGATTTTTCAAAATAAAAAGTTATCTGATGTAATGTTTCTGATAACCTTTTCTTTTTGAGGAATTTAATTCGAAGGAATTCATTAAATGCAGGATTCTCGCTATTCCTCTCATTCATGATAGATAAGCTACACCATTACATAAGGGAATTACGCTTACTCAGGAAAACTATGGAGGCTGCAAAGAAACAGAACCGAGGTTTTGAGGATAGTAAGAATGGCAGTGCAGATGAGCTCAAAGCCGTTGGTGAGGAGATTTCCACATTGAAGACAAAGATCAAGAAGCTGGAATCTGAATGTGAGACAAAAGACAAAGAGGTGAAGGCTGCTGAATCCAATTCACTGGCTTTTAAAAATCAATCTGCAGGATTCCTTCTTGAATATGACCACTTGCTGGAGGAGAATCAAAACCTTCGAAATCAGTTGCAGTCAATTGACCAGAGCCTTCCCCATTCTGATGGCAAAAAGAATATGTAAGGTAACAGAAACCCCCTGTGGCGAGGTGATTAATTTATCGTTTTGATAGAATCTTACGATTAGGGACTAGGGCCTTTTAGTTACTGGCTTTACAGTAAGAACACATCCGTTTAGAAAAGTGAGTTGTGAATGAGGCATAAAGGTTTCTGGGTAAAATGTTATTTTCAAGTGATAGAAACTGCTTGCAGTAATCAATGTATTAGTAATTTATTGGCTGCTTTTCTAGTATGATCTTTTGCACATCCAAATACAGATTTGGTTGTTATCCTTGGGAGTGGTTAGTATGGTATAAAGTGGAGGTGTTTTGTCAGAAATTGGATTATTAGACCAGAAGATGTCTTGGATAAGAATGTTTTTTGTTTGAGTTTTGAAGTGTATGTTATATCTACTTCTTGGGGCATTGAATTCTTTCGATTCCTAAATGCACCGAATTCAATAGCTAATTGAGTTTTATAAGGTTGAAGACATTTGAAGAATCTCTCCATGTTGGATGATGCCATTAGTGGGTGTTGAAAAATTTCCCCTTCCAATACTAAATGCCTAGTTTGCTGGCTGCACATATCGTTTAACATGGTTAAATTTTGTATGACAGTATGAGACTTCTATCATTGCAATGTCTGAAAAGGGTCAAATGCACACAATTTTACCTAGCGGACTGGATAAAAATGGGGGACTGGAGCACAGCCATGGCAAATCGGAAGCACATTAGGACATATAGCCTCTTATGCTCCAATATGGTTTCCCTTGAGTTGCAGAATTACACTGGCCTGACTATTACTACTCTGACTTGGCGGTGAAGTGACTAAGTTTTGAAAATTACATTCTCACCCATTAATTTTTTTGGTTAATTAAGAAATATTTTCAACTTGACCCCCCTTGAACTGTAGATGATTTTTTCAGTGTGTTCCCTTTAACTCCCATATGGTTTTGTGTTCCACTCCGAATTGGTTTTCCTAGTTTGAATTTTTGG